GGTCCCTCTTCCTTCGCACCAAGGCCATGACGGTAACGCCGATGTCCCGGCCGCAGGCAGCGGGGAGACCCAGCTCCCAGCCTCCCTCGCCTGCCAGGCTGCACGGCACACGCTCTGTCCGTTCACACAGGCGAGACCCAGCATTACAGCATGGAAATTCAGATGCTTCTTGGCTTCCCAGACAAGAAGAAGAGACTTGGGTATATAAAAAGCACCAGACAAAAATATCTGTTGTGGAAACGGCTTTTCTAATCAAACAGTTTGTCTTAACGGAGCATTTTAGTTTCCAGGAATAGAGCAGCTCGGAGGGAAAGGGATCCTTTGAGCAGCCTTCAGAGACAGCCTTCTGCAAACACGGGGGGAAAAAAACAATCATCCCTGGGAGGAGCTAATTGCAAAACCATAAACGTTAGGAGAAACCCACAGGTCTTCACTGCAAGAACCTGCGAGTTGTACACGACGTTTCCAGAGTAATTCGGCAGGAATACGTTCAGAGCCGCATCTACCAGCCCTGCTGCGAGCCAGTTGGAAAGGGAAGAGAGCAACGCGCCAAGCCCAGCTCTAACGAGACTGTAACCGACGGCGCAAACGGAAGATTTTAGGAGGTGGTAAAGCGATCGGGGGGTTGGTAGGCCAAAAAAGGCAGCGCTTCGGGACTGCGCAAACGCTGCGGAACCAAGAAGGTTTTTGCCGATGGCCTGAATTGGTGGAGATCTGAGAGTCCCAGGAGAACCGAACACCCGAGGCGACGGCAGCCGCAAAGCTCGGGATCTGCCGGGCTGGAAGACATGAGCGTTTCCAGCCGCAGCCTAGGTGGGAATTCAGGAGGACGGAGCCTTCTGCCCGCCCTGCATCAGCCAGGGAAGCGCAAGGACACAGCAAAGAGGCTGAGGTGTAGCAGGGGGAGCGGGCGAGATGAGGATGCGTACGTCAAAGCATCAGGAGACAAGTGACATCGGACAGCGGCAACCGATTTCACCTACCGACTTGTTCCTGAGTTACTGTCACTGTCGGGAGAGATGAGATCTTCTCTTTGTCGGCTGGAGGTGGTCCCGTGTTTTCCAACTGCCCCAAGAGCTGTGGAGAAGAAAACACGCCGCGCTCAGGAGCAGGGACGCGGTTTTGCCGTGCAGAGCCTCGTCGTACAAAGATGGAGCACGGAGAGCGCTCCATCCCAGAACCAGACAACCAGGACGTCTCTGACCTCGTCCTAAAGCCTCTGAAGTGCCAGACATCGCCAGCTTCCCTCGCCAGAAAACATCCCTGCCGCCCAACCCCAGGAGCAAGCTCAAGCCCTTTCATCCTAGTCCAGATATTCAGTGCCCAGGTGACCGTTCCCTCCTCCTCCGTAACATTTTTGCTGTCCAAACCTTCACTTTCCTGCCTCTGATCTTGACAATCCCACTTCTAACATCGCTGCCCTCCAGACATTTTCTCTGGCATCAACGGTTGGGAGACTGAAGGGCCTGGGTGGGAAGGGAGACGTTGCCACGGACATGGGAGAGGGTGCTAAGCTACGAGGAGGAACCTCATACTGCAGAAACAAAGGGGACTGAGCACCTTCCACCTCTCCCAGGGCTATAAAGAGAAGCAGCTTTAGTCGAGTACCCCCACCAAACCAAGGAGCAGCCGTACCAAAGCCCGCGCTCCCGTGACTCTGCGCCTCCTGCGTGGGGTCTCTGACATTTACCACGCGCTGAGCTCGAGCCGCAGCGACGGCGCTGACAGCACCGCTTTTCCTAGTGTTATACTTTCGTGACTCATAGGAATTTTATACTGTTAAGACCCAGATTCACCCAGCAATCAGCTCAAACAGGTTCAAGTAGGGTCAGGGAGAGCGCAGAGAAGCATTGGTAGGAGCCTCAATTAACTCTGAAGGCCTAATTAAGATGCCTGGGATGACAAGAAACCCCGAGACGGACAGGGCTGCCGCTCCAGAGTCAGGGGAGAGCGGAGCGGAGCTGCATTTCCAGCCCAAATCCGAATTGCGATGCCAACCCCAGGGCACTGTGCTCGCCGAGGCTCGCTCTGCTCTGCTGGGTGAGGGGCGGGAGGAGGAAGGGGCTGTCTCGGAGCGGCCGTGTGGGCTGCAGAGGCGTTTTAGGAAGCGGTGAGTAAGGAGGGCGAGGCGGGTGTGCGATGCAGCCTGGGAAGCCGGGGGCTACTCATGAATGGCAGCAGATGGCTTTGGCAGAAGCTTTTGGGAGGCGTCAGCATGACAAAACCAGCCAAATTAGCCCTCAGTAAAGCATCCGCCTGCTCTTCCCTCCCATCCCCGTGATGCCAACACCCTGGAAGGGACTGTGGATGGAGAGGCCGGACACCCTCAGTCCTCAAAGGAGCCAGACAATGCTTCCAGGGAGCGGACTCGACTCATCCCTCCACAAACCACAGGAGGAAATGGCTCACGGCTGCAAATTCCTGAACCGGGCAAGAGACCCGGGGCCGACGTTGGAGGTTTTCATCTTCAGCCTCTGCTGAGCACATTTGTGAGGCACCTGCAAGCCTTACACCACGTGGGTTGACAAAAGAGGTGAACTAAGACACCGTATTTCCACAGGAACAAGGTCCGAACCCCGGTTCCTAGACCCTCTGAAGAGGCCGGGCGCAAGCAACCGCCAAGCCAGAGACCGATGCTCTGTTCGTAGTCCTCAGCCGAAACCCAGGGCTCGTCTCGAGCAGCGGGACTGACCAGAGAGGAGCACACACACACAAAAAACCCCAACTTACAGGCACAGATCCAAGCCCAGAGCAGCCAGCTCGGGCCTTTCTCCACCCAGGCACATAACGAGGGTCTTACCTGGGTGACGATAGCATCAAGGCCGCTCTGTCCCCAGGCGTAGTCCCCAGGATTCGAGTGCAGCATGCCACTCCTGCAGACGGGAGCAGAGAGTCAAGGAAATGGTTTCACCCACCCCAAAACAGCTCTGAGGTTTGCACAATCCTCCCAGAGGAGCCACGCTGGGGAGAGGGAGCTCCCGGGCACCAGACCACTGCTGTTTACTGGTGTGGACAGCCGTGATCAAAGCCATGGTCTATACCAGGCTTGCTACTCACCAGGAAAAAGGGTGTTGTGAGCCAGGAATCGCCGAGTTTGCAAAAAACCCCGCAAAGATCTGCTGTATTATTCTAAAGAGGGAGGAATTGAAAGAGAAAAAAAAGAAAAAGAACAAGTTGAGCAAACAAATCAATGGCAGCAGCAACAGTTTAGCAAGAACGGGCAGCAAAACACGAAATACCGCTCCAAGGGACCGTAGCCACGTTGCTGCAAGACTCCCGCCTAGGTAAATCCCTCTGCAGAAGGGCAAGCCCCGAGACAGAGGCAGAGGGCGCAGGAAGAAGGGATGCTAACTCATCAGAGTGTGGGAGGGCTGGCAGAGGAAATGACTGAGTTTCCCGAGCACCGACTCGTTTCCCTGCAGCGAGGGTTGGCACCGGTACAGGCAAAGCCCACCGTTCCCACCACGCAGCTTCGATTCGTGCCGAGGGGGGACAAAGGACAGAGCATCTGATGTGAAAACCCACATTTTCGGGGTTCAAGGGTCACCTACCGTAAGTGCCAGGATCCCCTTTTGTCAGGTTCCTCCCCAAGATCCCACATTTATTCCACTGATGGGGGACGGAGACACTTCCAGGGGGTAATTTAGGCACTTACCCTTCGATAGCAGGAGACCTGTCGGGGCGCGAGCTGCCTCGGGATCTGTACCTCCGCGTCATGGGCAATCGCGGGGGTCGGCTTGGTCCCCAAAGGTCGGCGTGGGCTTGGTGGCCCCTCTCGTTGTCCCTGCTGTCTTGATCCAGTGAGCTGCTACTCAGAAAGGGTCTGAAGTCAGGAAAGAACATTGTGTGGTCCAAATGGTCCCAAAGCTGAAGGGGAGAAAAGGGGAGACACAAAGCGCACACAGCTCCGTCACTAATCCCGGTGACAACATGGAGGCAGGGAAGTCCACCTCGATAGAAATTCATATGGTTACCATGGCTCCCAGCAAAAAGTCTGGCAAAAACGGTTAATTATAGCCCAAACTAACCAGATGTACCACCCCCAGGAAGACCAAGGCGTCAGTTCTTTCCTGCTACGTACGGATCCCAACAACATCTGCTTTGTTAAACCACACCAGGGCACGGTGAGGGTTGGTCTCTCTCTCTCTCTCTCTCTGCGTCCAAGGGCTGGGATTTGAGGAAGGAGAACGCTGGACACCCAGGTCCCACATCCGTAGGCTCACCGAGCGCCCTGGGTCCTCGTAGCCACAGGTGGCAAGCGGATGCAGCCAAAAGAAGCCAAGCACGACCCCCAGAAGGAGGGTTTGTCTCTCTGGTCACATCCTCCGGTTCAGCGTACGCAACACAGCAGAACAGAGCAGCACGAAACGGCAGATAACGAAAGGTCTCTCACACGTCACGCTGTTTTTAAAGTATGGATTAAAGGAAGAGCTGAGGAGGGCACTGAAAATTTATGATGTTGGTTTATGGAAAAAAACCCAACAATAAAACAAGGAGCATCAGACAAGAAACCCACGGGGGAGCAAGCTGCTGCTCACGCTCGATACGCCAGGGCCAGGCTCCGCACTGCAAAAGCGATATTGGAAGGAGCAGCGCCCTTGGATTTACTGCGGGAATTAAATGCTACAGAGCGTAACACGAGGGCTGTTCTTCTCTGATTGGTACTAGACCCTCATCATGTGTTATGACATGATCAGAGAGGCTTAATTTCCATTTCACACCAAATTAGCTGACTTTTTTAAAGTCTCCTGCCTCGCCTGGTTCAATCTGGGTATCAGAGAAAAGGGAGAAGTCAAGTTTATGACCTGCTCTCTGAATTAACACCCCGCAGACAAGAGTTTTGCTTGTTCTCCTGCTGGTTATGATCAAGATAGAGCTCTGCCTGCCTGCAGCCGCACCGCTGAGAAAAGACTTTCATTTATTATTAATCCTAAAAGCCATTTAAATTTACATAGCGCCTTTCATGCAGAGGCATCCCAAAGCTCTTTGCAGACCGACATGTGGGCTGTAAGACGAGATCGCTTTATCTCACTGAAAACACGGGCATTTCTGGGCTGCGGCACTGGGAAGGAGCAACAGAAAGGCAACAGCTTTTTGCAGAAGACAAACGGATCCGGCTGAAGAGGAGGGGAGGAGAGGCAAACCAGCCGTACGCGGGGACCGCGGAAGCAAACGGGAAGGGATCCAGATCCGAAACACAAAGCTGCAGAGGAATTTCAGCTATTTGGTGACCCCGTTTCTGGCACTGAACTGAGTGGCTTTGCCGCAGCACACGAAGGAGGGCTCGGCAACAAGACAGACCCCCAAATCTACCCAGGGGCCGACGAGCTGCGACTCAAGACATCGGGGAGCTCTCCTGGCAGGACCGAGGAACGGTTAAAACTCCTCAAGAATAACCTGACCTCTGAGCAAGGCTTTGCTGGCGGAGGAGACGCACAGAAATTTTATTTCCATCTGTTTTACGCAGCTCAGCTGAACTCCGGACGGGAAATAAGAGCCCTGAGGAACGGAGCCTGCCATCGGAGTCTAAATCCACCCTGCCTTCCCTGGGGTCTGGAAGAGGAGCCACGAGCCCAGGGTGACTCAGGCGTTCGTGGAGCTCGACTCAGGCTCTCGGCACGTGAGACTTCATCTCTCACTGCCCAACAGCCCCTGCTCTGAGGTCCACACGACTGAATTACAAGACACGAGACTTTATTAGGAGTTTGGGGTTTTTAGATAGCTGCATTTCTGGTAAAACTCGGAGCAGCAATGGGCAGGGAGGAAAGGGCAGGCAGGCAACACCCTCCCCGGCTGGCTGAGCGTCACCGACGCACGTCCCAGCACCAGGGGCCAGGGTGTCTTTCTAGCATCCTTCTTTTCCTGCCCTGCCCAGTGAGCAAATCTCTGGCAGGTCTCAACCCTCGCAATGTCAACAGTCTCCTCAAAATTTGCCAAGTTCCTGAAAACTCTTAGGAAGATCAGTCGTCCTTTTTGCAAGGCTGTAGGCGAAGATGCCCTGACATACTGCAGTCAGAGTCAAGACTGAAAACCTCTTCATGGCTACAGGTTTTTTTAAAAATAAAAAAAAAAGCAAGACAGCAAAACTCACCTCTGCAAACTGTGTGGACGGGCTGTCGTCTATGCCGCTGCCATCTAGAAAACTGCAGAAAAACAGGTGAGTGAGAGCAGGTCAGAAATCAGCTCCCCTTCCAGGGTTAAACACAGACGGGAGCAAGATGGTTCCTGTATGGTCTGAGAGAGAAAGGGATGAGCAAACAGAGCCTGCCTTCGTGAACACAGCCGAATAACTCCTAGGGACAGAAAGGACTATTGAAGTTAAAAGGCTCTTTTATGTGCCAGCATACTACGCACAACCAGTTTCTAATTCTCCGGACCCTGGAAAAGCCCCCTAAGAGGAGGCATGTGAGACGGAGCATCATCATTCTGCTAACAGGACCCCTCCAGGCTTGCCTTCAGCGCCGGGTGTACACCTATATTGAAGAAGAGGACGTAGGGTGACATGAAGTCATCTCCCCAGGCACACCCAGCCCCAGGTCCCTGCTGTGGCAAGTCTCAGATAGCAAAGGTTCCCGTAATCACCGCTGCCCTTGCATCTCGCTTAGCCCCAACCCAAATAAAGCACTTTTCTCAGCAATTACTCAAGCCCAAATAGTGTAAGTGCTGACCAGGCATCATTTGGGATCCCTAATTTGCCGGCACCGTGTTCCGCTGGGTGACCGATGACCGAATCGGTGCTCCCAGAGAGAAAAGGTGTTTCTTTCTCTCTTGGCCTGAGCTGTGTGACTGGGGAGGCGGTCAGGAGACAGAGGAAGAAAGAAAGGTACTGTGAATCACTGAGATTTGGGTTTGATTCCCCAAAAAACCAAACCCAATCTTTTTCACTCTACGAGACCAAAGAAACAGGCGTTAAAAAGCTGTAAGTGCTTTTGCTCATGGGACCTTGTAGAGCCTTAAAGCACAACTCCCATCTTCTTGGAAGTCCTCCCCAAACCCCTCCACGTGGCTGCAGCAGCAGACCGATGGGCACTTGTATTTTCAGTCTCAATATACAAGTCCAAATTCACAATAATACATGAGCTTTTCTTTCGCATTCCTTATTTCATCCTTGTTGTCCACAGTTTTTAAGAGGCTTTACACCAGGCATCTTCTAAACCCAGAAGAAATGTTAAGCGCGTGGTAACACAAGCGGTGCATCGATGTGTACGTTACCTGGAATCATCTGTGACTTCCTCGATAAAGCCAGACTCACATCTCGGGCAAGTGTACTCCTGTAAAGACAGAGGAAGGTGGGTTTAGGCACCAAGCACTTCGCTTGTGATTTCAGGAAAAAGACAGAGCTCAAAAAGTTAAACGCCAGGAGTCTAAGGTGGACTCCTGATCTTCACCTCCCCGCAAAGGCACTCTGCAAGACCAGAGTTTCGGTTTCATTAAGAGGATTTCAAAGGCCGGTGATTACAGCAGATATTATTAACCCCCAGCGACAACCGTGGAACAGAAAAACACCCTTATCAAGATCACACAAGGTTAGCGGCAGATTGAAGAAAAATAAATTAAAAAAAACCCAACACACCTACAGCCTCAAGCCTGTCCGGATAACGACATTTAAGAAAAGAAACATTTACGAGCCTGCTGCAAAGCACCCGAACACGGCCAGTTCCCAGCCCCAGTGACGGAAAGCGAGTCACTTCAATTAAACTGGTGTCAGAAAGCCGATGAGTTGCCAGTAACGCAGCTCCGGCGGGGAGCGGGACTCGCTGCCGCTCGCACCCCGGGGCAGATGGCTCTCGCAGGGAGCTTACAGAGATGCTCTGCAATTCTCAGAGCTAGAAAAGAAATATTTTTTTTACTATTTTCCGCCAAACCGCTTTCATAAACGGGGGCTCCATACGGAAGCCAGGCTTGCCGGCTATCGATCACCAGTATCACCTCCCAGCCAGGACGCCATCCCTTTACCAAGGGAATGATTTGGGCTGCAGAGAAGGGAACACACAGCCCCAGGGTTGCTTTCCCTGGCACATCACCTGGATAAAAAGCAGTTCCTCCCAAGGCTGCAAAATTCCCAATCCAAAAGGCTCAAACGTGCGCCTTTCCCACTGCCGGCTCCCTCCGAGCCCAGGTGCTGCTGGACCAGTAGCAAGGTGCTGGGCACCAGTAAAGCAGGATGGAGGCGGATGGGTTTGCGCTGCGCTTGCAAAGCTTTTAAGCATGGGAGAGAGGAAACTGGATAATCCAGAGGCTTCCCTGCTCCGGAATATTCTGCTAGGGCCATCAAAGGGAGGATAGCAAGAAGCTGGAGCACGGAGCACAGAGAAAAAGGCACCTCTGGGTCCACCTTGGGGCAGTGCCCCAAACTCCGGGCCCTAGGGACACCCCCCCATCACCCCCTTATCCATAAGGAAGGGGGAAAACCTCCCGCAGCCCCTCTGAACTCCTCAGCCCAGGCTCAGCTGGTGCTGCAGAAGGGCAAGTTCTGTGTACAAGGCGGGGGAGCCACTCTGCCGCCTCCCCACCCCCAGCCCTCCTCAAAAATCAGCCAAAGGAGAAAAATTCAGATCTCCCTTGCGGTCCCTCACCCCCCCTGGGGTGTCACCAAGCGGGGACAACCCTGGCCAGGGGTAAACACGGACACAGGGAACATCAGCCAGGGCTTGCGCCAGCAGGGAAAAGGGAAGAAGGGCTCCGTCCTCGTGACTACGTCGGCACAGCAACACCCCTTTGCCAGCTATTTATCCAGCAGGAGAAACAAAAGGAATTCTCCCCAAAACGCGAGCACCCTTCCCATCCTTCACCTGAGCTAAGGGCACATCCCGCCGCAGGACCACGCGGCGATCCCGGCTGCGGCACCGGGGAGCGGAAGAGCTGCCGGAGCTTCTGGGAGCAGCGGGGAAGATTTTTTTTAGGAGGAGGACAGTTTTCTCTGTTTTCATTGCGAGAGCCCTCGTTTTGTCCCAGAGCTGTGGATCGGCTTCAATTTTGGGGCAAAACATTGCCAAAACCAAAAAGCACCCCCAGATCCTCCCTCCCCAAGCCCATCTCGCTGCAGGAGACGGAGCACTCCCAAAACCCACGCTTCGGGCAGGGATCTTTCCAACCCGTGATTTGTGGGGCCTCTGTCCAAAAATAAAGCCCCCTGATAAAAGCCTTGTTTTCTTTACTCACGCTTCCCAGACCACAGATAAAAACCCCACCAGCATCCCGTGAGCCACAGCCTCGAGCCCTCGGCGTCAAATCCTCCTACCTAGACCTGCAGCCGGACAAGGAAGAGGAAAAAATAAGACGAGACACCCAAGCCAGCGGCACAGCCGTCGCTCCAGCTCCTGCCTTTGAACTCCAAGCACGTCGCTGAGCTCGAGGACCGATCGAATTCCCGGCGCAGCGTTACCGGAGCTGGGGCACAGGTGAGCCCTCTCCCAGCCCTGTAACACAACGCCTTTGCAGAGCCAGCTCCAAATTCACCCACGTCTTGGGGATTTTTGCTTTCATGAAACGCAAACTTCGTCTTCCCATCGCCATCCAGCTCGGTACCATTTTCCCACTGAATCTCTTTCCCTGGGAACGGCACATAAGCCCTCTAGACACCTTAATTCATCTAATTTTGCCTTTTTCCACCCTCCCAAAGCAATGTGTTAGCCTGCAATGTTTACCAGGTGCAGGGGTACCTCGCTTGCCAGCTGGAGCGGCTTCAGAGACGGAGAAGAGTGCGGCGGGGGTCTGCCCGCAGCAGCTCCGCTCCCAAAACGTGCGTGACACCCCAGCGTGCGACGGGAGAGGCCAGGCACAGGTTTTTACAAAGGCCCATTTAGGCAGCCGAACATGTGGTGTATTTTCAAAAGAGCTCCAGCCTTGAGTATAATGGGAACTGATGGGTAATGAGCTCTTCGAAAGAAAAAAGAAAAAAAAAATCATCTGTCTGGGGTTTTCGGCTTTGCGTCCCTGAATTGTAAGGCGAACGAGAATAGATGCGTGCGTGTGAAAGAGGAATGTGCGCTGCTCAGTTCTGCGTAGGAGGAAATTGCGGGGCTAAATGCCACCACGGAGAGCAAGTCCGGGAAGGCACGGACCCATCTCCGAGCAAAAATTAAAAATTA